CGTTGGCGTCAATTCCTTTGAAACGGGCGGAACGGCTGGAAGTGAGAGTCAGGTGGGATGCAATGGGATGGGAAGCAAGATGGTCGAGATTTGCGCATTTCCATTTATCTAGTTATCTTCTTGCTATTGACTAATAATACCTACTACTTAGCTTTTTTGAAAAAAAAATTCCACTGAGCTCTTTTTTCATTCTTTGATCTACCGATGCAGACTGCTTTTCGGAAGAAAGGAATTCGCGTTAACTGCGTTTGTCCCGGRGGAACAGATACTGCAATTTATGAAGCATTTGAGAAATTAGAGTTAACTCAGGAACAAAAAGAACTAAAGGAAAAACTGCAGAAACAAACGTAAGTAATTAGAAACAAACTAATGGTAAAAGTAAAACTAATATAACTAGTAAAAAACAGTGACTTGATATTAATTGTATTCTAGTATGTGAAACATGAATTGCCGAATCTTTCAAAAAACATCACTTTCTAAAGGTTCACATGAATCYACCTCAAATTTTAGAGAATCGCTGAATTCGTTGTGCCGTCGTTTAAAAGTATTATCTTATATGCAGAATAGATTTTTTTTAAAAGTCAGTGTATTTGATATATATGGTTTTGATATGGCTGATAAGGCATAGCGTACCGCATATCGACCCACAGCATGCGCSACCATTGACGACAGTAACGACAACTCTTAAACAGGTTGTCAAAGACTTTCCATTTGAACCAGGGTAATGGTTTAGATATGGAGAAATGACGATCGAGTCGTGTTACTGATCTGAAGTTTTGTTTCCTCTTGACAGCCCCGATATGGTAGCAAAGTGCTTTATAGATTTGATCAAAGACGATAACGATAATGGACAAATAATGAAAGTGACATACGAGAATGGAGCAGAATATGTCGATTACCATGACGTAAGAATTATTTATGCATATGAATCAAAGCATAGAATAATTTTACATTTATAAAAAAAATACAATTGTAAAATTATTCTATACTTYCTTCCTAGCTTATAAACCTAATCTCTCATGAATCAAAGTGTTGAAAAGGAGTGTTTCAAGCCAGAACCACAAGCTAGAACCTCAACACAGATTCCTGTTGTCAATTTTTATCAATTACTTGCAAATTTCTCGCGCGCTGATTGGCTATTTTTTATCATAAATAAGAGGGCAGCAAATAAGCTGACAGTTAACGAGCGCGCGTTCTTTCCGTTGGTTGTTTTGATCACTAAAAATGATAAGTTTTTAAAATAATTTTTGTTGTCGTTTTTGTCAGTTGTAACAAATCGATCGGCTACTCCTATTGGAACCACACTACTTTGACTGATGAGATAGAAAACGAGCGCGTGTGCTATGTTGARTTATACAAGCACGCGGGAAATTGCGTTAGTCCGAGAGAAGTGCTAGGAGAGCAAGGGGAGTGTTCTATCTCTTTTATAAAATAACTAAGATATAACTAACGACGATTAACTCAAAAGAAATAATAAAACATCGCTTGCGTTGCTGACGTCATATCCTCACGATCTATGTTGAGTTATATAAAACGGTAATTGACCAATCAGAGCGCACGTTATATCTTAGTTATTTTGTAAAATGTGATGAAGGAATTTATCGTCAATGAGAGGACAGACATTWAAAAAATGATGTCAATTTGTTAAATTGACGCAAGTATACCAGGGAACACGTGGTAACTGTTGCAATTTAAACTTCCGCAACGCTGCGCGCAACAAATGCCTTGTTGGCAATGGTGCGCGTGATTAATTCAAAGAAAAGAAAAGTGTGATTACTCCTTTCTTCAAAGAATAGGAAGGCTGGGCTAGTGCTGAATGATAAGTGTTAATTTGTTTCTTTATTAATATTCATTTTCTTTCTATAGACTGTTATATAGAGTGCAATAGAAAATGACAGATATACAGTAGGAATAAGGTAAAGTTTATATTAGCGTACTTTTAATTAGATTTGGTTGAAGCTAGCGCATAATTGGATTTATAACATACCTACGTTATAACGCGCGCTCTGATTGGCTCTGCATCTATGAAGAAAAAAWGTATGGAGCACTCGTATGGAGTACGATGGTGACGTCAATTTGGTAAAAATTCGGTGAAAATTGCAAGCATTCTGATAAAACTAAAAAGACTACTAATTGGTCTACCTTATTTCTGTACATTTGAAGGTAAAATATAACTATTGATTTACTTTCAATAAAAAGTTTATAGCGTATTTGTTTGAGCTCAAGTYTGGCTTACTAAAAAACTCGSCCTTYCACCGGCCAGCWCACTRCAGCGAAGTCRAGAAGTCTTGCAKTTGACAAGTCAATTAGTTCAGTTTTTCGGCTTCGCCTCGTGCAACTCTTACGCTACCGTTGTTACAACTCTTACGCTACCATCGTTACAACTTTTACGCTACCATCGTGCTTTCCCAACTATCCGCGTGTGCCATAAATAGATTTACGCACGCTAAGCAATGACCATTGCTTAATTGGTCAAGCCTTTAGTCTCCGACCTTTTGTACTTATGTTCAATTAAGAGGGTCTTAAAGGGGTAAAATGGGAGCTGGGATTCGCCTTTTTTGGGGCTGGGAAATTGGGATTTTATGCAATGGGGATGGGATTCACAAAAAAACAATCAAAAAATAGAAATGGGATTGGGATTAGGATTTGAGCAAAACTCAAAGGCTGGGACTGATGGGATTGTTCAAAATTCAGGAGGACTCTTAATTAAAGAATACGCGGAAAGAGATCTAGGGACGAGATTGTTTCTGGTTGAATGCTACTGGTTATAAAAAAGCAGATTGATGGATTTTAGTGCAAAAGGCGGGATGGAGGAGGGGGGTAAGGGGAAGGGTGAGGGGGAGGGGAAGGTTAAGGGGAGAGCGGGTAGGGCGTGGGAGAAGGGGGAAGGGATATCTTGGAGGATATGATAAAATCTTTTGTGCTTTATACTAATTTATTTAATTTCTTCTTTGTTTGACAGGAAGCCAAGCTTTACAGAACGAAGACCCTACCATCGCCATTTCATGCCTTTACCAAGGTTGCTTCCAATTTATATACGATATAATAGCTATCTTTTGCGAATACCAGAATATATTAGAACACTTTTTGATTAAAAACACGGTGAAAGATTCTGAAGGACGACCTTTCGTCGAAACACATCTTTAATGAAGAGGGGGTTGGGCAAAGAGGATTAGAGGTTGYGAATAAAATATTGATCAAAATTGATAGTTTTTGTTTGCTTGTTTGTTTGTTTTTCTGGTCGGTCGGTCAAAAGCATACAATGTGTATCGCAGCGAATTCTTAACTGTGGCTTGACAAACTGATTCAACGGAATATCAAGCTTGGCAGGAAATTGCAGCATAGCATTTGTCTGTTGCAAGCGTGACTTATAGCCACATAGTGCAGTTTTCGTATTCTCTACTTTCACATCCCCATAATGC